GTATTTAAAGCCACGATCAAAGACAACTTATGATCTATAAAGAAATCTTATGATCAGATAACTAATGGCAGAATTTTCTAGGTAAAATTCACACCATAATTCAAAGCTTTTTAAAAACCATTTTAAACTATTTTGTATTTAATCTAACAATTAAACAAACAAAAACTGATAAATGTCACATTTCCTATCTATTGTGGCATTTGGTGCTGTTTTTTTTTTGTTACTGTTCCTTTGTTTCCCCTGCCTCCCAACTTATTTAAACGTGTACTTATGTATTATAATATATAATAATTTGTAAAATATTAATATTTTTATATGAAACTAACATTTTTTTTTTTTTGCAATATTACAGTTAAACATTGTAAGTGCTTTTTTGCAATACTCAATTGGTATATTTTCAAAATTTAGTGCTATTAAAAATATTTAGGCTCTTAAAGATTCTGTCTGTTTATTCCCTTTTTGTCACTTTTACATGTTTCAGATTTTAAAAATAATTATATGCTAAAATCAGTTTTCACATGATTATGTCTTTTATTAGGCAAAATCTATCCAAGACAACCAATCCTAGTTCATATTGGAAAATAAATAATTTCCTTTTCTAATTCACTTTTTGTTAAAAAGTCTCAGTCTGTCCTGAGACTTCTCTTGTTGTACAAAGTCAAGTGTACTGCAACGCTGCCCCTCCCTAATCTTTTACTGACCACTGCCTACTATTGCCTGAGAAACAGCTTCTAAACTTTATCCTGAGTACAAGAAAGACACATTCAGCTGTTTGTCAGTATTTCTAATCGTCCTGCTAAAGAAATACCACTCATTTTTACTCAGAATGGTCATACTGTAAGATCATGGTCAGATGATAAAATATTAAAGAAGATAAATAATTTTTATGATGCACATTACAATTAATAATAGTAATTATGAAGGTTATAAGACTAGCCTGGAGTTGGGTCAAATGGTTATCAGTTCAGACATGACTCAAAAGCAAACATTAGAACACTGCTTAGCAGGATTTCAAGTCAAAGGTCAGTTAGGCAGTTCATCTGATATACAAATATGTATAAGTTGCAGCAGCACACTAATCGATAGAGCAATATTTCACCATATGGAAACATGTGGAGAAACATATGGTTCTTCTATATAACGAATCTTGAGTGGGGGTATATTTTAGATGATCATGAACAAGATTGTGGTTGACTAGAATGAATTTATCAATCATACATACAAAATGTACACATGATTGATAAATTCAGGTCATCTGTGGCGCCTCAAATGTGCCACTCTCGCCATCCTATTCACTCAGTGACACCATCATGTGTCACAGAGAGAATAGAAAAATTTAAAAGTAACACAAATTTAAAGTTTATGAGATTGATCAATTCTACTGATATTTTCCAATAGCTTAGTTCTCTCATTCTCTAATCCCCCATCATAATCACAAACTGAGTGCAACAGCTGCCTAAGGAGGTTTTGCAAGAAATAGTTTCTAATATACCCAGTATTATAATCATTTGTAAGAGGTTGACAAAAAATAATTACTAGAAATCATTGTTCTATTCTATAAAACAGATTTCCAAAAAACTAAAACCAAAGAAGGAAAGAAAACTTAAATGAGACTGGAGTTCAGAGGGTTAAAAAATAACTTTATCTGTAAACAAATTCACATTACCATTATTTATGGTTCCCCTATTTTTAATAAGTGGAGGTTTATGAACTTTATGCTCAGTGGGAAGTGAATGACAAAATATGTGCAACTATGACACATGCACAAATCCCTTTTAAAAGAAAAAAGGATAAATGTATAATAACTAGAAAGATGGAAAAGTATTTGCTATCTACTAAACAAAAATAAAATGAAAAGAAAAAGGTGTACATTTTCTACAACATTAAACTTTTCTTTTATACTAGCAATTTAAAATATTGCTCATTGAAACATACATAGGATATAAATCAAATAGTTACAGAAGTTTTTATTATATATTGAGGTGAACTATTTTAAATGTAGGAAGGATTTGTGCCTTGCTTTGTAGTTCAATCTGTTGAATCCCAGTGTTCTGCTGCCCCCTGCTGTTCATACCAGGCTACTACAATAAAGATGAGGGATTTGACCTTATTTATAAAATCATTTTATCCAGTTCAGAAAATACAATAATTTACAGACTAAAAGTTGTAAATAATCTACAAGTGCAAATGATTGTCAAGCAATTAAACATTTTTAGTTTTCTAAATTATTGGAATGCTAGAGTTAAAGTTTTTTTCATTCTATTTTATGTTTTGTCTATATAGCTACTTTCACTATCAAGAGTTTTAATGTTTGTGACCACACAATAAAAACTAAATTAATATAATGTGAAGTTAGAACCAGACAATCACATTCCCAGTATTGCCTCAGAGGCTTTTCTGCCCTTAAAGGGAACTTCTAGTCTTGATGCTTTGTTTACATTTCTGGCCTCTGACCACTCCCATTACCGGCACTACAGCTAAGCAACAAAGTAATTATTTAAGATAACATGATCCCATAGCTCTGTGCCTGTGGGGAATTACTTTTTCAATCAAACATTTTAAGAGCAGCTCAGTTTGATTCAATTTACAACAGTATTAATTTACTTTTGTTTCAGTTTCACTGGTTAAAACGCCGTGACAAAAATCAGATAGAACAAGAGTAAATTAATTCAAGACAAGAAAGAAAAAATCCCAAATATTAAATAGTTGTGAACACCTAAGGGCAAGTTTTATTCTAAAATCATGATTTTAGATATATATATAAATAAGGTTATTCTTGTTTTAAATTGTTTTAGTGCTTCTTTTTCCCTGACCAACTGGTCAGATGATTAAGGAGTATATCTAGCATAACATATCACATGACAGCCACAACTGAATGACACTTTGTGTCATTACTTTTCTTCCTGTCCATGTAATATTTGATAAAAAGATGGCAGAAAAAAACTGTCATCTTTCCTCTACATTCAAGAACAAAGGAAAATAAATTGTCCTTTACTGTTGGGATTAGGATATCAACTTACAATGAAACATATTTGGTCTCTAAAATGATTCAAATACACAAACCCAAGCAGATTGCACACTGCCATTATTAATTAAACTGAAGCCAAACCAAAATGGAAAAACTTTTTTTGTTAATCTATTTTTAGCAGTGCCAGCCAACAACTGACTGCTTCATCTAGAACATGTTACATGTTTTTGTGGAATATCATCTCTCCTGCCTTGAAATTAAGAAATGAGTGGAAAACTACATATACAAAGTAAAATACCAGTCCACTGAACACCACTGACCTTTGACTTACTTCAAGTGTTTTCCCCAGATGTAATTTCTTAAGTAGAAATGTTGAATCATAATGCACAGTTTCCATGTTTGGTAAAAACTAAGCACACAAACACTGTTGAGCACAGTGGTGGAGGGCTGATGATTTGGTCTTGTTTTGCACCAGAACCTGTGCACTTTGAAGTTATTGAGCCAAACATGTGCTTTTGTACCAAAGGATTGTAAAGGCAAATGTTAATTAATCAATCAAAACTTTACAAATCCATAACATCATCATCTGGAATTTCCTAAATTGTTTAATGTCTTAGCAATCTTAATGTATGTAAATAAACAAGAATGATCTAAAAATAATCTTACAAATGATTCTGGTATTTAACACATTTAATAAATAAAAACAATTGTACAGCTCATGGTGACAGTTTGTTGGAGTAGCTCTGTAGACTTTTGGTTGAGGGATGACATGTTTGAACACTTACTCTGGTTTTGGATGCTGTGGAAGGACTTTTGCTCCTTTTTACTTTCAGACAGTGCAACGATGGCAACAAAAAAGTTTTATTTTTACAAAGAGGAGCACCTAATCAGCATCTCAGTAGATCAAATTATACCTGAACTCTAACTGCACTCCCAGAGGAGTTGAAAAGGAGGCTTTGTGGATGCAGAGCAGGACAAAAAGCAGAGAAAAAGGAAGGAAATTCAAACCGTCTAGTCCGTTAGTCATAATGTTAATAGACCATACAGTATATCCGATTCCAATGTTTTCCTGTCTGGCTTTCTAAATATATATTTAAAGAGAAGTGCCAAAAGCAGTTGTTAGCGGTGCCTGCCAACAACTGATTGTTTCATCCAGAACATGCTACTGTGGAATATAATCTCTCCTGCCTTGAAATTGAGCTGTTAGCATGCCATGATCATCATGAGACTGTCATACAACAGTCTTAGGTCAGAGGTATTACCAAATTTGTTGGAAGACTGACTGCTACTCCTTTCTTCCCACAGCGTCACTGTCCACAATTTGAGGGTGATGAATTACATTTAATTCATCACAGACAGTTTAAGTCTGTCCGGATCAAATTGGCCCCGCCCCAGATCTTTAAATACATATCTTATAGACAAGTAGCTATGTGCTAATAATATTGACAATATTGTAATACTAATAAATATTTTATCAATATTTTACCAAAACTTTTTTTTTCTCTATACTGCCAAATTACATCGATGTGAAATATGTTCAACATTAATTAATTTTAAGAAGTACTGATTGAATAAAGACAAGTGCTTATTTACCATTTTAACAGTTTAATAGTTTTACCAATAAATTTTGCCACATCCGGCCCTAAGGACATTCATAATCTTGATATGGGCCAAATTGAAAATGAGTTTACTCTGCTGTATTTGATTTCAAACTGTTGCATGTTATCACAGTATTTTATCTACACTTTACAAATTTACATATTTTTTGCTAAAGAAATAGATATTTAAAATACTACTCGAGCTATTTCAGATGTACTTTTTCTAAAAAAAAAGAAGGAAAAAAGTATCTTTATTTCATGTTTGTTATCTTATTTTTATTTTGGTTTGTTTCGGAAAGCTTCATGCTTCCCTCAGAGTCGCAGATTGTGTTGATGTTGCTTTATCTTGTCTTTTCTATACGTCTCTGAAAAATGGAGGCAAATATAATTTCTACATTTTCGCAAATAAGAGGACCCTCTTCCTTTCGTGAGCTACTGCTCCACCCTGTGTGAGCGCTGAAGGCGGGCGGAGCTCTTTGGATACTCGCAGCAGTGGGTTCAGGACAGTAGACTTCCTCCTTCAGTCGGTGAGGTGGAGGAGATAGTCAGCTTCAGTACGGGTTCTGGGATAATAAAAGCAGCCATGGTGCCAGGCGTGCCCTATGTAGTCGTGTTGGTCATCTGTGCCTCCATGTCCATCTCTGTCTTTGGTGAGTGTGACTGTTTAACTTGATAAACCGTCGCCGCTTTCTGACGGCTGGTTAGCCGCAGAGGTTAGCTTCAGGCGGGGTCTCGCACAGCACACTTCGGGACGACGTCAACCTACCGTCCCTTAATTAGAGGCTGACAGTCTCTAAAAAAGGTTATTTATTATGGCATTTTGTTAACACTAAAACGTTTTTCTTTAAATTATTTGTTTCAGCAAACTAAAGGAATGCCAACCAATATAATCACTTTAATGCGGGTTTGGTAGTTGGGAAAAGCCTATGATAAAACTAACTTGTCGAACTTTTAAGCAAAGTAATTTATCCACAAAGTGGTTGTTTATATATTTTATGTATTCATGTGATTTATTTAGTTAAAAGAAATTGGGGAAAACATTAACCAGCACTTTACTTTTACGGGAAAGGTAGGGGCCGCTTTCCTTGTTTCTGATTGGATCCAATCCCCTGGCAACAGGATGTATGTCACTTCCCGTCTGTCTAAAACCAGAATATGCTTCAAGTTAATGTTGACGAGTTTATTACAGAATTAGAGAAAATGTATGTGTTGCGTATTTATTTATTTTTGTAATAAAACATGAATTGTATGTAAATGATACATATTTATTGTTCTAAATTATAGTTGTATGTTAAAATAGGTTAGTGAAAGTGTTCTTATTTACATCTGAAATAAAATCAAACTAACAAGCAGTCAACATACTGAACCAAGCTTTCATTTCTGGTTATAGTGAAATAAATTCAAAGCACTATTTCACTTGGAAACCATATCTGCTCTTCAACATATGTAATCTTCTAGTTTGAACATCCACAAATTTATTTAGTCATCTGTTTATCTACCTCAACACATTTGAGTTGAATTAAACAGAATAATCATTATGCATGTATGAATGCGTATGTGTGGTTTTGGTTCAGACTGCTCCAGATATAAAGCCTAGCCATTATCAAGTAGGCTATTTCAAGGTACCACTTACATTACGTAGTGTGGTTATATTGGTAAAGAGCATACAATTACTGCTTGAAGCAATACTTTTAAATATCATGTTATTAATTGAAAGTCTCATGGAACTAACAATACAAAAATAGTTCCAAGATCAAAAGCAGCAATCCCATGCACACTTTCAGTTTCTCTGAAAGTAGGCCTCGTAAACAGCTATTAGAATTTAACCCCATGTGGTAAGGAAAACATTAAATGTAGTTATTTTTGATAGCTTGTAAGTTTAAGAACAAAATAGAACTTGCTGGAAAACTCCCACAAAGTTTTGCATGTCTTTACAGGGCATTTATAAAGTACTCATTCATGTTTAACCTTTCCATTCTTTTTTTTTTTTTTTTGTCACACTGCAGCCACAAACCTCAGTGAATTTAATTTGGAATTTTATGTTGCAGACATATGTTGCCGAAGTAATGTTGAATTGTTAAGTGGAAGATGCGTTTGGTGATTTTTAAACATGCCTTGCAAATTCAAATCTCAAAGGTGTGGTAACCATTTGTATAAAGCTCCCCTGAGTTAGAGCAAGTCGTTCAGCATTATTCTCTTTTTTTCACTCTACTTGAAAAATAGCTCAAAGTCAGCCTGATTAGATGGACAGTGCTTGAACGTCAATTTTCTTATTGGAAGGTAAACTTCATCCCTAAGCCAAAGGCTTTTGGCAGCTTTTGAAAGGTTGTCTTCCAGGCGTGATCAATATTTGGTTCTAGCTATCTTCCTACGAACTCTGACCAGTTTCCCTTCTCTGCAGAAGTAAAGCATCCTTATGATATGAGTCTACATTATAAATATGGTGTGTTCAGGATTGTGTGCAGTGATGGTTTTCTGTCACACATTTTGTTTGCATTAGTGCCTCAAAGTTATCCTTTGGTTTGATTTGACTGGAGCACATTTTTCTGAGTTTTCATGTGTCCCGTAATCCAGAAGTTTTCAGGTGTGGGAGAGCTATTGCCTATAAACATGATCACACTTCCTTGTTTTTTTATTTTTCATTTTGCTTGACTCAGACCAGTGATCTCAAACTCCAGTCCTCAAGGGCCAATGTGATGCAACTTTTAGATGTCTCTCTGCTTCATCACACCTGGCTCCAATATTAGCTAATTAGCAGAGGTCTGTAGAGCTTGACTACATGCTAGTGAGACATCTTCAGTGTTTAGTTCAAGTGTGTAGGATGCATCTAAAAGTTGCAGGACTGGGGTTAGGGTTATCTGCCTCGTACCATACTGTGACAACATAGTGGCAGTTTCAACAAATATGTAAAATAAAACTATTTTTCATAAAAGTTATGTACTGCAGCTTTAAGAAAATGCTGCTTAATTTTAAGACATGATAGGAATGTTTGCTCTTAATGCACACGCACACACACACACACGCACACACACGCACTCCTACCCTGTCCTCTGCCGACAACAGCCTGGAAACCCCAACTTCCTCAACGCCCTGTCACTATGGAGACTCGCTGATCTGAGGGACCTGAAGTTCCCCTTTTTGTCATTTCACAATCTCCTATTCATTTTTACTCGGGGGTTATATAAAAGAGAACAGCTGAGTATCTCCCCAGTAACTGTATTAAAATATTCATTTTCGTTAAAAGGTGGAATGTACCGGATCTGTTGTTTAGACAGGTTTCATGTTGTTTCAACATGCATGTAAGGCCAGTCTAACCTGCGAGGGTTGTTTAAATTTGTTTTTCAATTCAGATCACTTTAATTTAGTTTTCTATGAAGTGTCAATTTGGTTCTAAATGTAAATTCAAAACACTTTACTAGTTTGATTGATCATGTTGACTGGGTTGATTTCAGGATTCATTTTTTTTCTTTCCTAAGGTGATTAACAGGATATGTTTAACCAAATCAAACTATATTATAAACATATAAAGAAAATGTTCAAGAAGATGGTTAAATTGATAATTCTAATAAAGGATTTTTAAAATCCGATAGAAATGAATAAGCCTTAAAGAATATGGTGACCCAATGTAGACATTTTAAGTAATTGCACATTCAAGGGAAGCCTTATTGGTGTTTGTAAATTCATGCTAATTTTTAAAATGTCTTTCAAAAGTTGTTTCTTTGCAAGTAAAATAGTTGTTTCTGTGTTAGTGTACTATATGTGCTTATCTTTGTCAACAAAAGGCATTTAAATCAATTATGGTATTTCTTTTGTCTTATGGCAGATAAAATAATTTCCGAGTGTCCCTTTGGGTAGTCTTTAAAATATATTTGTTTACAATAACCATGTAAAGCTTGACTGAAAACTGCACCCTCTAAGCAAATCAAGTTAAATTGACTCCATTTAGAGGATTATCATTGCCATCGCTTTTGCCTGCAAACCTGTTCCAACAGGATGTTGTGTGTTGTGACTCTTTTAACTGGTGCAAGATGGTGTTGATGCTAGCTGAAACCTGAACTCCATGACCTGCAGTTTGCTAATTTTGTTAAATCGTGATCATCTTATTCAATGTCAACGTGTAAGCAATTAGTAAACTTGAGGATTTTATTATTCTACCATGTTTTAACGTGTAAGATCATAGCTCTTCTACTTTAAAGGGTTTAAATCAAGAAAAATAAAAATGATTTTTATGTGGATATCAGAGCTACAAACTGTTCCAGGCCACATGTAAAAAACATTAACTCAATCGTTAATCATAGTTTCAATGCTATGAAATTTAACCATTTAGTCGCTCATGTAGATGCCTAGAAGCATGACCGTTTGCCCTTTTTTGTGAATGAATAGTTTAAAACCCATCATGTATTTACTTACCTCATTGCATCCAGTATATTTGCACATGAATTCTAATAAATTTCTCTTGGTGTCTTCTCCTGCAGCACTTGACTGTAAATCATACAGGGATTCATACAATCTCTACTACAAGTCTAAAGAATGCAAATGGGGATCATTTTGCTGTGGTACCTGTACAAGCAGAGATTGCTGTTTTGATTTAAATCGAAAACTCACTGAACGCGCTCAAGAAAGATGGTAGGTGATTTAATTTTTCTTTATATCTTCATATATCAATTCACAATGTATATAAATGGGGAGCGAGTTGTTCCAGTAATTGTCATTTTTCATTAGACGTAACCTTTTGATTTTGGTAATTGAGAATCTGAATCTTGAAAATGGTACACAAAAAGTTGGACATTCTATTACTTAAAAAAATACATTTTAAAGATATTTGATATTTCCTATTTCTTCTTTACAAATAAGCACAGGTGATTTTTCAGATCAATATAAATGAGTATGTGTGGGAGTCAAAAGATGTCAACAATTTAAACAACCAACTTATGCTTATTGTTAAGAATATCAGTAGTATGTCATTAGCAGTGTTATTAAATTGGTTTCGATTTTGAGAGGAAAAAAAATAAAATCTTTTTTATTTCAGTCGTTTTGCCAAAAATAACCAAAACTTTCATATAATCAACATTTAGCCCAATTTCCACCAATTGAAACTGGCAAAACAGAAAACATGTAAATAGTGTAAATGTTAATGTCCTTTAAAGATGGTCTCACCTTTAAGTCCTGTGGTTATTTTATTTGATTATAACTGCTTATCTTTAGTGTGGCATATGTGCTTCTCTTTGTCAATGTGCTGTTGACACAAATATGTTTTACTGCAGAGGGACAAATGAAGGATCATCTTACACTAAAATAAAAAAGCATGGATATAGAAAGTAACGTCAAACATTGGTTGTGTTTGCCGTGGCAGCTAAAGAGGATTGCTCTCGTTTGTTTATTTTTTTCTGAATTTTCCTGTTGTTGCAGTGATGAAAATTTGGCAAGTTGGGGAAATATGGATAGGTAAGTTTGTATACATTTTCATGCAAAAAAATAAATAAAATCTAAATTTTTTTTAAAGAATATATTACATCAAAAATATTGTCAATTTTGACAATGAAAGTCTGATTGTAAGTGTACAAAACAAACATGACGCAGGAGCCTTGAGAACCACTTTCAGAACAAAATGACTTGATATTGTAGCTTTCTGAATAAATTATCTCTCACAATGTTTTTGAGGACTTTGGGGAAACTCTTCTTTATAGTTCTGCTTGAGTTTATTGCTGGTTGCAGATTTGTGTTTAAACCAGGCGGTCTTGGTGACTTAGCCCTAGAAAATTTCACACCTTCTTTTGGTTTGGTTCGCTTCAAATCTGCACAGTTGGAAGCACCACAAACCACCTAAACAGTTTCTCACTGCAGAGTATTGCTTAATAACGATCTCGTGGACATGAGAATGATGCAACATTACTAAAAGACAGAGAGAAAGAATCGGATTTCTGCTGAGAGATTATGTAATCATTGATGTCTGTTTTTCTGTCATCTTTTTTATTTTTTTAGTGATGACAAATTCCATAAGGAGTTCAGGGATTCCTCATATGTGGTCATGATTACTGGTATCGTGGGCTCCATCCTTTTTCTTCTTCTCCTCGTCTGCTGCTGCATCTGTCCCTGCTGCTGTATTTACAAGATGTGCCGAAGGCCGCAGCGTAAGTAGTTCTTACACCTGATTCACTTATGGCTTGTATTAAGTTTATTCAGTTTTGGAATTGGTTTTCTGAATGAAAACACAAACTAATAAAAAGGTACTGATACCTGATTTGACTTCCACCTTATAAATATGTAAATCTTAAATACCACTCTTCTTTCAGGACTTTACACTAATTTTAACTTTTTCAAGAGGTGCGCCAACCCTTTTTCATTGGGTACACCTGGCTTTTTTTACATATTGGAGCAAAAAATTGATTTGGAGCAGAAAATCTGAATTCTTCTTCAAATGTGACCTTCTCAAAAATAAGATCACATTTGCGATCTAATTGGTTACATGGGCACACTATAGATCAATGCATTTTACTATTATTTCTAAGATATTCAGTATCAATTTACTATTTGCACCTGTAAATTATTAACAATCATCCTTAAAAGCACAATTGATGAAATCTTTGCTGGACCTTGTTCCTTCCATGCTCTAAACTTAACCAAATACTATTCGGTGATTATTATAATCTTCATCTTGTCATGTAAAAATTTTATTATAAATTGTGTTTGCCAAGTTTGGATGGTAAACGTACATTACTTTCTTTTCCAGAAGTAGCTGCAGCCTATAAGCTGTTGCTCGTTGTTAATAATAATAATAATAATAATAATAATTAATATTACCTAACACATTAACATATCCAGCTAGCTAAAAAACCTAAATGGAGATTGGGCTTATAATGTGTTGACATTTTGCAGGCATTTGCTGCAGTGTCTGCATCGTGCTGCTGCACACATGTAGGCTTCCTGCACACAACCAACAAGAAACGCACTAGAGCTAGCTGTTTGCGAGCCTGTCAGTGCATGTATGCATGTAGTGGTGTGGCACCTGGCTTGAACACAGTCAGAAGAAAACTTGCACTTGTGGTTTTCAGTGTATTTGAACGTAAGACGGAACATCAGGGGACTCATTTCAGGACGTATGGCCCACCCACCACCTGACTTCCATTACAGAAATAGCACAGACGTGACATCGAGGGGCAAGCTGAGCAGAGGTTCATGAAGCCTGATGTTCTTTTTAGTCATCATCCTTTTGGATTATGACGCATTCAGTCGTCAAAGATAATTACTGCTTGTGGTTTGAGCCAAACTCGATACTGTTGCTTGTTTTCTTGCTTTAGTAAATTTGCTTGCTGCCTTTTGGAAAGTATATTGAAGCATGCATAGTATCTCAAACAGTGTTTTCATTTTACAGACTTATACAGTTTTTGCTTTTGTCACACTTCTGTTTAAGATCATAAAACTGATTTTTGGATTTACAAAGATGAGCCAATTAAAGGCAAGAAGCAATTTTCAAAGAATAATTTCTTGTATTAATGAGATAATAAGCTGCCTAATCTATGTGGCCTTGTGTGAAAAAGAAATTGCCCTCTTAATCTAGCTGATTCTCCCAGTCTTGGCAGCAACAACTGTCCTCAAGGGTTGGCGATAGCTGCCACGTATCTTTTACTTAAAAATCTTAATTAAGTAATCAAACTGGCCTTGGACAATTCTCCTGCTGCAGAACCTAAATGTGCTTGAGCATAAAGTCATAACATTACATCCAGGATTCAGGATTTAGGATTTTCTGGTAGAGAGCAAAATTCATGGATCAATAGTGAAAAGTTGTCCAGTTCCTGAAACAACAAAGCAGTCCCAGAGGAGCTACTGCCACCATGTTAGGCTCTCATTGTGATGCTTCTTTTCTAATATGCTCTTACTTTTACTCCAGATGTAAAAATAATATATACCTTTTAAAAGGTTATTCCTTTTGTCTTACATTTGCACAAAATGTATTTCCACAAGTCTTCAGAATTATCAAGAATCTGGAACGCGGATCTTGGCTGCAGCAGGAGGAATTTTGTTTGGCAGGCTGCTTCTGGGAAAGATCACGACCGTTCCATGTTTCCTTTGTTTATGACGCAACTGTGGTTTGCTGGGGTCACAGAAACCTAGAAAAGACTTTGATTATTGGGTTTCCTCAGATGTATGAATTTGTGATATCTTCATATTTGCTAGGTTATTTTTAAATGATTTTGCAGAGAAGTGTTTCTTCTCCAAGTCCAATAGAGAAATTGAACTAAGCTTTCCAGAAAATAGTTGCTTTGGATTTCATCTTACAATAGAAGTAGTCTGTTGAAAACAGCTTTTTGTGACATTCAGTTTTTGTAACTCTGGAAAATTTAAGTGCAACTATAAAGTAAATGACAGAAGAGATCTGAAATGCCATTATTTTTTACAGCATGGTATTTCAGTATTCATCCAAGTCTGAATGAATATGGAAAAAGAAAAAATGGAGTACGGAAAAATATTTGATTTTCCAGATTTTTTTTATTTTACTTTTATCTTCAGTTTTTTTAAAAGGACTGAAGTGTAACAGTAAATAATTTCAGAGTTATGTAAACTGATTTAAATTTAGATGATGTGCTTTATCTTTGAACTGCCACATCACTCCTTGACTTCTTCTGGGCCGTGACGAAACGCCAAACTAAAACTGCTGTGGTTTTGAATTTCTACAAGCAATATAGAGGCAGAAGTTCACAAACTGTTTTACAGAAACTGTGTCTATTCTGGAATAATCCAGTCCATACATGACAGGTGAAAGGGTTACATAATTTGGTAACACTTTATTTGAAGGGGGTTGAATAAGACTGTCATGACACTTTCATAAACATAACATAACACCTGTCATGAACATCAATAAACCTTCATGAATATTTATGACTGTTGTCATAAAGCATCATTCGGTAAATTATGACACTTTTAATACAAAGTTGACATTATTCAAAATGTCTTCATTATGAAAACTTGAAATTAAACAAGAAATCATTACTGTTTAAACTTTACCTTTAATAACATAAAGATACCTAATTTTTAAAGTGAAATCAGTAATACTTTTATAACAAATTTATATCAGTAATGATTTCTTGGTTAATGTCAAGTTGTCATAACAAAGACATGTTGAATAATGTCAACTTTGTATTAAAAGTGTCATAATTTACCAAATGACGCTTTATGACAACAGTCATAAATATTCATGAAGGCTTATTGATGTTCATGACAGGTGTTATGTCATGTTTATGACAGTGTCATGACAGTCCTATTCAACCCCCTTCAAATAAAGTGTTACCCATAATTTGAACTAGAGCAGCCAGAAAACATTCTCTCTTAACCAGGTCCAGTATTGTTGTTTGTTGAATTGCGGATTGAAGCAATGTCTGTTATAGGGGATCAAGGTGAATGCCTGTTTAATTCCTAATATTTTGAAATGAAATGTGTAGAGACTCTAGTATTAAAACCGCTGATGAATTGCTAGAAAGCTCTTTACCTAAAATGATTGTTGCACTGTAGCTGCTGTTACTACCATCTATTTGTCTGCTTTTAAACATTTTTTTTGTAAATGATTGATATCTTTAGCAGAAAGTTGAGTGCTACAAGCACAGTAAGGGTTGAAAATCCCCTCGTTTAGTCCTTTTATAAGATTTACTAAAAATAAAGAGTATTCTTGATGAAAAATGTGTGATGAAACCTTCAAGTTTTGTCTCAACATTATTTTAGTAATACAATGGCAATACACTTGTAGGTTTTTACTGAATTAAAGTATATAATGTTGAGATTGGGAATCTCAATCGATGAATCATAATTTGTATTGACACACGGAGCATAAAATCAGCCAAGAAAAGCATTCAGACTTTACTTATTTTATTAACTTTCAGCGCTGAAAGGAGACACTTTACCATTACATCCGAGAAGAGTTTCTAAAAAAGTCTGTGCAGCGTCTGAGGAGAAAGAGGAGGGTAGCTGATTATATGGACGGAAGACACTCCCTGAAATCATACCATGCCTCTGTGGCCTGATAAGTTTCTGTTTCTCGTGAGAATTGGACCTTGGTGTCTAACAGAATCAAAAATGTAACTCTTTACTATGGGCCCTTTGTCTAACAGCGTGTGACTCTTTCTCGGCCTTGGTAAAGCATCTCAACATATAATAGTAATCATAATGATTTAACTAATTTACTAATCTCAACAATAACTACTATGATTCACAAGTACATAATTTTCCGTGCTCGCGTGGCATGTGGATTCTTTCGCGAAATGCTCCACAAGGCTGATCCCAGACATGTAGATCTGGTGCTAAACATTTGATGTTAAGGTTTAACCGCAGTTGTTGTTTGGCTCTGACCAATTGGATTTTTGTACTGTTGCAGAGGTGTTTGTTTTTTTTAATTTTAGACATACTGATAGTATTTTTTTCTTAAAAAAGCCCCTAAACTATATTTACTTCCAGCAGATTAAGTAGATAAACAATCGTATGCTCAGACGTTGTAGAGAAGGATAGGGAACCACAAGACTAAAAAAATGCAACACAGAAAATATAAAAAGCTACTACTTTAAAAAAAAACAACAAAAAAAACAGCTACTACCGTTTTTTAAGCATAAAACACAAGTAAACCCGACAATGTGGCTTTCTGGCCCTGCCTTCTGGGATCAGATACAGGAATGTTCAGTCTGAGTCATTGCTTCCATGTCAACCATTGAGGGGAAACCTCAAGAACTGTTGACGTCACTTACAGGAAGTGGTTGGGAAGATGCCCACCCTTTCTTTAAAGGAATGATGTAGACATTTTCTTCATTGCACCTATGTCTTCAAGCAGAAATAGTGTGATGAGGTTTCTTTTCATTATAGATGTGGATTTGTCAGTTTTTCTTTTTGAAGAATGACTTGTATTCAGTGGACGACCTAAACTTTTGTTCTTTTGATATTCATGTTTTATGCTCACTTATAAAGCATCATCTCTCGGAGTCTTTCTAAAAAAAAAAAAAAATCTTTATCAGCATTAATGAGTATAAAAACACTCCTTATGCCAAAAATAATGATAAAACAAAAGGTTTGCTTATTCTCAGATGTGAACGAGATAAGATTCAATTAAATTCATGGTGCTATAAACATGTTGTCAGTTGATGGGCGTAGTTATGTGTTTTATCTATTGTAACTTTTCCATGTTAGGAACAACTTTTGACTTGTCAGATTTAGTGAAATCAGTTGACTTTTTTATCTAAGCAGTGCCTTAGATTGTGTGTCTTTCCTACTGAATCCTGTTATGAGAATCGTGCATTTTTATTTTGTCAGACATTCATCATCCTTGCTTGTGGTTTTCTTGCAGCTGTGGTTGCTACTACCACCCATACCACAGTGGTGACCTCTGCTCCTCAGCAGTACCCCCAGCAGCCAATGTCAGTGCCTGGACAGCCCCAGCCCTACCAGGCGACCCAGTATCCATCCTACCAGCCCATGCCAGTTCAGCCTGGCTATGGAACACAACCCATGGCTACCTCGCCCTATAAAGGACAGGCGTTCACCCCAGGACCACCACCACCTTATCAAGAAGCCAGTGAGTGTGAATTGTTACTTGAGTCCAGATGAATAAGAAAAGCCCGGAAGATGGCCACATGTTTGCGGTTGTCTTAAATAAATCCAGTCTACATTATTATTATTTTTTTAAAATCTACAACTGTCATGCAGATGTTATCACATATCTAAAATTACACAAGAGTATTTAGTCAGGTTTTTTTTCTCAGTGTAGTGTTTATGTTGCTTTATAGCTATATGAGATTTCTCAATTTCTGCTGCTGTCAGGTTAAAATTTCCTCTGAACAACTTTCTTCGAGTGTAAGCAGTGATCCAGAGGATAAATATTTCATTAATGTACTGTCTGGTCTGCAGTAAAGCTAGTATGACGGTGACTAAGCATCTTTTTCAGGAACTGGAAACTAAATGCAAACATTTATTCTGCAATAGAGTGAAAAACGCATATTAACAATAAATCTATTTTAATGGCAATAGTAACACACTTATTTGTAACCACATTTAGCAGATTAAAATATTTTCTAGTTTTGTTCAAAATGCACAAAGGAATAAAAAAAAATGTTATTTGGTCTCATTGTGAAACTAGTTTGCATATACAAAGACACATTACCTGTTTTTCACTGATTGGTTGTCAATTAGGACTGCCAAATTTATTACATTTTTGAATTCTGAAATTTATATAAAGTTCCTTAATTGTGTAGATTTTCTTGTAAACTGTTTAGGTTTTCCTTACAAAACCTTTTCAGAATAGCCTGTTGTAGATTTGGCCCGTCATCTCTGAAAGAGCGGATGTAACTAAGTCAGGTTTGTAGGTCTTCATGGATTTGTTCACCTTTTCAGCTCTGCCCACATTTTTTAATGGACTGGGTTTTTTCTTTCTGATGTCAATGCTAAAACATTGTCCAGAAGCCACTAGGTAACTGCTAATTTGGCTGTATGCTTAGAGTCCTTGCGGATGTGGAATATGATCTGTGCCCAAGCTTTAACTTTCTGACTGATAGCTTTAGATGTTGCACCAATATTTCCTCATAATGTTCTCTATCTATTGTATGAAATAGATAAAATAGATCTATTTATTTTCTATTTGCCATCTATTTTATGAAGTTTACCAGTCCCTCTTGCAGCAAAACACCCACACAACATGATGCTGCAAAAATAAAAATCTTATGTCCTGGAGTGTATTTGCAAATGTATCTTGCTTTTAAAAAATGGCTTTTGGGTTGGTGTTTACACTTGAAAGCTCCATTGATAAAACAGCACTTTGCACCAATCTAATGGTTGAATAACTAGTAGATTAAAAACAGAAAATATTTTTGTTGTTGAGCTCATATGTCTCAAAGTCAAATTCATTATTTTAGTAGCAAAGAGGGTGTTTGAATTAAACATGTTGCTTAATTTGTCGGTTATATAGTTTTTGATGAAAATTTGATAAACTGTGAATAACTAATTACAGACCCTGCAATTATCTTGATTAAAAGTTCCACCAGTACTTAAAATGCATCAATAAATATGCCTTCATTTAACTCAAATGTTGCGATAACTTGCAAAATCAGCAAAAAGGTTTTGCATGAAATCAGCACAAACGTTTTTGCTGATTTTGCAAGACTTGTCTGCTTTTGTGTCATCTTGTTACTCCAGAATAGCAGGAGAGGAGGTGGATTAACTACTAGGTTATGTTTGAGGGGGTTTTTTTTGTTTTTTTTTAAGTAAAAGGAAACGGATCATTTCTGTTTACTGAATGTTGCAAACCTCTCATGTGGTTAAAGGATATTTCTGGCCCATTCATTCTTATGCTTTTTCCCTTCTATTTCCAGTCGGTCCAGCCTACCCTCCCAGCCAGCCCATGCCTTACAGCCAGGCTGCGTACAACCCCGGACAGCCAGCGTATCCTCTACATCCTCCCACCTACCCACAGCCAAACGCTCCATCCTCTCACGCGGACTTCCTGGCACAGCCTGCATACAACCCAGATTATGTTGCACCACCCACAACCGGGTAAAAGTACTTCGTACCATAAATAAACTACAACGTTCCTGACATTGGCAGAACATGAAGAGAAAGTGTTCATTCCTTTAGTTGGATGGTAAACGTGACAATGTAATATAATGTTGAGCATCTGTTGTGTTCAGTTGTCTCGAAGTACAACGTGTTGATGCCCTTTGACTTGTTTTGCATAGACATTCAGCATGCATTCCTACATATGTGTAAACGTCTGATTTCAGTTTGTTTGTGGCTCCTTACACATCTTGGGGGAATAAAACATGAAGCCCTGTCTGACTTGAGTTTTTAAAGTGCGTAGAAATCTTTCAGCTTTATGAAGATGCCTCAAAACTTCCCGTTTGCCTTTTAAGTCCAGCTGAACCTACTGGACTCCATTCACCTTCAGAATTTGACTAAGGTGCTTTCATGTCTATGCTCAACACCTCAAATATCTGCCAGGTTCCTGCAGAAGTTCTTTAAACTTTTTCTGTCTTGTCATACTCTTGTTTTTATAATGTTTTAAAAAAGTGTGTATTAGTTTTTAGTACACTGCTGAAATACTTTTTTTTCTAAGCATTCTTTATTAAAGGGAACACTGACTTTGTCATCAGTTAGGAAAATGTTATAAAAAAACCCAATAGCGTACAGTTGCACCAATAAATCATCCAGTCAATAAATCGGCTTGGATTTACTTCGCTTTGGGAGATCTGTGATTGGCCAATACTCACATGTTCATCCCCTCCTGTCTACCGATCTTATCTGCCTGTGCCGTGAGAGTAACTTGACTGACAGACACACCTCTGAGGTCATGTTTGCAGTTTACAATATTTGCCCCACTGTTGCCAACTCGGGGACCTTTTTGTTATATTTAGCAGGATTTCAGACTTCAGAAACTAACGGAAATCAGATCCAAAATTGAAATCGGTAGGTCGGGCTTTTTCGGCCAGAAAACTGCAACTAGTGCACCCTTAGTTTTTATTGATTGTCAAATGTACATCTGTACACTTTTGCATCTGCAGCTTCATTTAGTGTCACTTCAGGTCTTTTCTCTTCAGTCTACTACACATTTAGACTAAACCAAAAAGGAATTTTGAAATGCAAGACACAAATGTGCCTTCATAGAAAGGTTGTGGAACCCAGATGAACATGTCCTGGCTTTGAAAAGTTTATTTTCTTTTGAACTGTTTATTATTTGAGCGCACCTTATAGTAATTTATTGTAATTTTCATTTCAAACAATGTATCCTGTTTACATAAATAATTACTTCATGTCTGTCATTTAGACATTCAGATTAGAGATTAATACATTTTATTTGAACTCAAATTACACTAAAATGGTTTACTTCAATAAAATATCCTTGTACCTTAATTGAACAACTTGATTTATGAATAGTTGATGCTTTTTTTGTATTTCCTGCGAAATTTTGTGTTTTCCTTGTTCTGTTGTCACTAAAAAGCTCAACTGTTTTTGCCATTTACTCAAGTCATTTGAAAATGTGTTGTTTTTACTTTCATTTTTTAAAAAGAAAAACAAGTTCTTGGTTTGCCTTTTCTCGCTGGGTATTTTTTAGTTTTTCAGATTTGTTTGAATCATTGTCACTGGGAAAAAAAAAAAAAAAACAGTTTAGGTTTTACTGTTTTTCCATCTTGTGATCCAAAATATTTTCCTTGTCGTATGTAAATATGTACCATTTATTTTACAGACTTTCATAAAATATATTTTTCCTGCTTCCATCTGGTTATTTAAATTCACTTTCAGTGAAAGGGTTAATGTGTAAGGCATTTAAATATTTTGGAAAATAAAAGTGAGGAAGGAAAAGGAAAGATGGGTGTTATGATCTTGTATTTAAATATTGCAACAACTACCGTTGTTGCAATCACAGCTGCCGATCTTTTTTGGTGTATTCTTACCGGATCCACATATCTAAGCACTAAAACTTCTGTTCAGTCTCCTCTGAAAAAGAAAGTTAGTTTGCGTAGAGTTTATCTATAATCACCAATTTTCAAATCTTGCTAAAGATTTTTAATTGAATTTATGTCTGGACTTTGACTGGGACATTCTAACATGATTATTTCTTTTATCTAAACTTTCCCACTGTAGCTTTGGAGGTATCTCATGTGTTTTGCAGCCTCCAGTAGGATTTCGCCCAGTATTCCCTCGTCTTTAGCTCCATCTATCTTTCCTGTCTATTCTGATCAGCCGCCCTGTCATGATGATGTAAAGTGTACCATATTGGTGTCCTCTGCTTTCAACAGGATTTCAAATTGGTCCACTAGACCTGTGGATGTTTCCAGCTCTTCCAGAACCACTTAATGCTCTCTTGAGACTTTCAGTTAGGTGAACAGACATGCCTTTGTAGCAATTCTAGCTTCATTTAAAATTAACATGTACTAATATTAATAATTTTGTACATGTTTGATGGCTTAGTAAATACTTGTTGAGCTAGGGAACAGTACCAGATTTTCTTGACTTTTATCTTTTAATAAGCAACGGCTGTTGGAGAGAGGCTGCTGAGATGTCTGATACAAGCCGAGTGCAGCACAGCGAAAGAAACGGCAACAATTTGTTCATAAGATTAAACTATTATAATAATTATAATGGTATGCTTGTCTTATTATTCTAAAATGTATTGATGGTTGACAGTTTACCGGTTCCACATATCTTTGACTTTTACTATTTCCCATCCCTAGCAGAGGTAAAGTGACCGTTGCTGAGGGGCTGTTGGTTTATCTGATGCAGGCTGAGCTCAGCAGCTGATGCAGTGCAGAGAAAGAAAAGCTCTCAAAGTTAAAAATACACATCAGTTGTCCACAAAATTAATCCATTCTCTTATTTAAATTGTAACTTTTTAAAAAATTTACTATAAAAACAAAAATATTAGTCAATAAAATACTTGACAATTTAGTAGATAATGACTCGAAATTGTTTTGGATCTTTATTCACCCCGAGGCAAGTCGGTTGGCTGAAGTGACAGAGTGGAGGACGGTTCATCAGATACCAGCTGAGAGCAGCACAGAGAAAGAAACGGTGAGGAAGTTAAACACAGATACATTTTTGTTTATGAAATAAACTATTCTCTGTTTCTTTATTATGATTTGAAATTAATATAACAATTCACATGATTTATTAAATGCTTAACTATTGAGTACACAGTAACTATAATTTCCTTGACCTTAATTTCTTCATTGGCTTTGACTGGGATGAAGTGACGGAGTGGATCCAGGCTTGGAGGTGGAGATAAAAGTTCTTTATTTGATTAAACTTGCGTGAATGAAACACGCGCACACACACACACGTTTGCGCGGCTATATTTGTGGGGACTTTCCATTGACTTCCATTCATTTCTATAGCCTAAACCTAACCTTCACCCTTTTCCTAACCCTACCCATCACATACCTAACCCTAACCAAAACTCAATTTACACATTAGTCCTAACTCTGACCCCTGACCCTAAAACAGGGTTTCCCCTTGTGGGGACCAGGCTCCGGTCCCCACAAGGAGCAATTGGTTCCCACAACGTAGTATATGTCAGGAAAATCGTCCCCACAAGGTATTACAAACAAACACACACACACAAAGAAGAAACTTTGTACAACTGTCATGATTTACCAATTACATCTTACAAGATGGTGATGCATGGAGCAGGGTCTCGTGGTGGTTTGTCCATCTGTAGACTCTGAGGTTGGAGCAGATGAGCTACATGCTAGTTGATTAGCTTCCTGCTGTCTTCTCTTTTGAGGCTTTTCTCTTTTAACGCCAACCATTTTTTTCTGTCAGAGCAAGGGGTTCTTCCTCTCCAAATGCAACAAGTAGAATGGCAGGACCTCCGAAAATATTTAAAGCAGCAAAACAGAAATCCCACCCGTTTGTCGCTATTGACTCATTCAAAGATAAACTCATAAAAGTGGGATGAGGCATTTGCAGGGGAGCAGGAAGATAAGAGCAGTTGGGCTCTATCCATGTGAGGAGGAGTCACTTCAGAAAATTTGCATAGGTCTAAAACTTTCCATTTAGGGGGGCGGAAGGGAAAAACTGGGTCAAAAGTCATGTTGCCAGAATTCTGTCTCATTTTGATAAGAACTTAAATTTTATATGATGAAAGTGGGGCCCCTCTGACATGCTCATTATTCACCATTTAATAGAAGGTTCCAGAATCCTGTCTGTTTTATTTCGATAACTTAATTTAAATCAAAACACATGTTTTATACAATAAGAACTTTATATAACCTTATTAATCAGACAAGGTCATATAAAACCTTATTAAAACAGATGTTTTATACGATAAGCATTTTATGACGCAGATTTAACAGATGGCCGAGGTTGATAGCATCGATTTTTTTTTTTCATTTGGGCGTGACTCTTTAATCCATCAAACTCGATTAATTAAAATTTGACATAAGCTTACGTCCTTATTTTTCCTGATGTTGGGGGGATATAAGGTTCTGCAGCCCTGCAAGAACAGCAAACTACTACACATGCTTCTCTTTGAGGAATGACAAACACAGCCTTTTAGATCTATGAAGGGGATGCTGCATTACTGGAGTCAGATGCTCCAGATCTGTGGAGATTGGGTGGATGCATGAAACACAGAGGTTTAGAGAAAATTTGGGAGGAGTCACATCACATGTTGCACAAGAGAAAAAAAACCCCTGAAAGTTATTTTAACCAAATCTGAATCTGTTTATGACCAGAGTTTCTGTACCAGCAGGATTTATTGTCTGTTTTGCATTAGAAAAAGTAAAGAAATGTAGCTTTAATCAAGACTAATCTCACTAGTCTTAAGTTAGTAGGGGCCATACTGACACATTCGTGTAAGTTTCACTTGTTCTTTGGTAAACATCACTGTTCATTTAATAAAATATAGCAATAAAAGTGGGCCAAAATTATATAATGTGGTGAGATACTGAGATCTAAATAATAAAGAGTATATTGTTAAAGGGTGAAACTATCCAGAAAATCTTGACATTTCATTTCTGCTATTACATTAATGCTCCTTTCACTGGCAAGCATAACACATTATGTGACTGTTATCACAGCCTGTTTGCATTTAATTTATATCTTCTTGGCTTAAACCGCCAAATCTTTCACTGAACACCTAATTTAAAAATGCTAAAATCTAAAACACTGGCAAGAATACACATCAGTTAAAAGTGTTAACCCTTATGTCTATCTCACACTGAGCAGTGTTTTCCATGTGTTGAGGAATGCTGTCGAGTGAGTTCTTTATGGGAGGGACATTCAAGTTCCAACAACCATCTCGTTGCAGAATAATTTCCATGGTACGGCGCTTCATGGCAGTTATGGTCTCAAGTGTTTGGCTCAGAGTTTTGTGTGTTTTCTGTTTGATCGTGGTACCATAAGTATGGGGTGAGTTTTTCTTATTTGCGTTGGTTGTTCGATGTTAGACAGTTTTTGGTCACATGACAAGGACAAGAAAAACAAAAACAAAGTGAAACTAAGATCGAGGTGCATGTGTAAAGTGTGCTAATGATTGTCATTTACAGACAGTTAGGTTTTTAGCAACTTGAGTTCTGGTTCTGCTCATCAGTTTCTTTACAGGTTTGACTGTTACAATCGTAATGATACATCTAGTTTTTTTAAACAGTCTAATATCTCTTAATCTCTGTGTTTCACAGCGAAGGAGGATTGCACTTCGTACACAGATTCACAAAATAAATACCATGCTTTGAAGAGGTGTGAAAAGTATTGCTGTGGTAATTGCAGTAATAAATATTGCTGCGGGGGAAAAAAACAATAAGCGTTTCACTGAAGAATAACAAGCTAACTGTCAAAACTGGTGTGTCTTTGCTTTTCCCTTTCTCATTACCAAATGTTTAGTCATAATTCATAGTGTGACTTTCAAAAGATGTTATGAAAACATTGCTTACTTTTCTTTTTGAAGGTATTCCTCCACTCCAGACACTATGGAGTCTATTGCTACCTCCACTGTTGTTACCTCCACTGTTGCTACCTCCACATCAGTGGAAGTAGCAATCATTATTGGTGAAGTTATTGCCATCATCATATGTGTGTGTCTTATCTGCTTTGTGGCTCCATGTTGTTTGTTCTACAAATTGTGCAGAAAACCACGCAACCAAAGACAAACAGGTCAGCCACAATTTCCCCATTACTTTAGCTTCTACAATTAACAGGTTTTAGTGTTGCAAAGATACGAATACTGGACCTTGCACAAATATTCACACTTCTTGAACCTCTTACTTTGCCATGTTATATACAAACTATCAAAATATATCATTTCATTTTGATAGGATTTTTTATGATTGAGCAACACAAAGAACAGTGAAGCTAGAAGAAAATGGAACAAAATCTGAAAAGTGTGAATCATTTTTCAGGTTCCTCTTTTAGCAAGACACAGACATAAACATACAGCATGAGTCACAACAGAATGATTTAGAAAAAAGCATATTTATGAGTTCAAGATGGAGTCCAGAGCAAAATCATACACTCCATCTGACTGAGTTCAAATCTTTTTTGCTACAAAGAAAGCACAAATATTCATTCTCTAGATTTGCAAAGCTGGTAGACATAGCTCAAAAGATTTGCAGCTGTAATCATAGCTTCTAGAAAGTACTATTTTGACTTAAACTAATGTTTTTTTATGTTTTCCATTAAAAAATTGAAAACTTTAGACTTCACTTTGAGGGTTCATTTGTGTTGGTCCATCACACAAAATCCGTATAAAACACATAATCATTTGTTGTTGTGACTTTACAAAGTGTGAAAAAGTTCAAGCAGTATAAATTCTTTTGCAGCAGTAAAATCCGTGGATTATATCAATCACATTGTTTGGAATCTTGATGATTTTGCTTTAATACAAAAATGTTTTGCTGTGTAAAATGGTAAAACTTTAACTTCTGATGTTAAGTCAGCAAACATATCTGGTGATCGTGTAACAGTCAAACTAAATGTGTTGCTTTCTCCAGTGGTAACAAACACTGCAGCCAACATGCCCCAGCCTCACTACTCACCATCTGGATATCAAGCACAGCCTCCAGATTACCAGGGCGTGGCAGGAGACGAAGGCTCCACGGTGCCCAACACTCCGCCACCATCATATATGGAGAGCAGTAAGTTGTTTCATTAGCTGCCAAACCTTGTTTCAACCTCTGACTGTACGACTAAAGACAATCAGAGGATAATCCTAGAAGTCCAGGTCAGTCTACTGAGAATAATTCAATTTTTTTTAGCATATTTCTAGTCCTTTCATTTAACATGAAGTCAGATTTGGTCCTGATGTGTATGGGTGCCAAAACAAAATGTGATTTATGGGAGCTTCCAGTTAGCATCAGGCAACCCAGCTCAACTGGTTTGCTTTTATATCAATTTTCTGTGCTAAATGGAACCATTACACATCTAACAATATTATAGTTAACAGCTGGAAAGAAATTGTATTCTTCTGAAGCTCAGGCATGGACCCTACCACAGGGTCCGCGTTTCATTGGCTAATGCCCATTTGACGTCACTGCGCAGCTACCATGTGCTTGACCGTCTCACAAACAAAAGCTAAAGTAGTATACACATGCTAATGTAGATTGTGGACTAGCAGACCACAATCTACACAAAGTTTTTGCGAGAGAACTCAAATAAGAATGGTTCTCCACTGTCAGTGGGGAATCTGTACAGGAGATGTCAGGCATCCTGATCATATTTGTGGAAATAAAATTCACAGATTTCCCAAATCTGATACGGAATGCCTAGCTTGGCTCAAAGCTTGTGCACGACCTCATTTGCAGCTCAACCGTTGTAAGATCAATAAAAACAAAGGCGTGTGTGCTGGTGTAAGTAATATTACTTTGCTTTCTTAGTGTTTAGTGAATGGGGATATTTTGAGTGGCCCTGCGACAGCCTGGCGCCCTGTCCGGGGTGACCCGCCTCTCGCCCGGAACGTTAGCTAGAGATAGGCACCAGCACCTCCCGATCCCTTTTGAATTTTGAAGCTTGAAATATTGTAAGGTCTTAAGGAGACCTATAATGTGTGAAGAATGACCCCCAAGAATGAAAAAAGTCAATAATAAATACATTCATTATGAAAACCTTTTAGCTAAGTACAGCATAATGGCAGTACCAATACAACTTCTACACCTTGAAGCCTGTCTGTTACACAGTCTTACGTTAGCTGAACAGATCAATATGCAATGTGTACCGTATCTGCAATACATTAAAGATTTTATTTGACCTGAAAAGGCTTTTTACTAAACTGTAATCGTGTTAGCCACGCTAGCACCGAGTACAGTGTATCAGGCCTAGGCACACTCAAACATTTGCCAACAACAGAAATCAGTGATTCCAAAAGTAACCCTCAAAACCATGAATGCCGACTTACCCAGCCTTGCAAGAACAGGCATCAGTGATCTTGTCCACAGCTATATTTATGCTGAGGGTGTGAGGATCTGCTGTTTTCATCATCGTCCGGTAGCATTTAGCTGCGACGCGCACAATGTTGGAGGGATCCTGTGGCTCAAACATTTTTATGTCGTCCAAAAAAGATGACATGAAATTGTTGGTTCCCCTGTCCATTGTCGTGGCTGATATTTTTTGAAAATCCGGCAGAAATGCTACACTAATCGACTCAGAAATACCTTGTAGAGAGTCAGTTGAAACGAAAGACGTCATGTTTACACATAGAAACTAAGCTCCGCGAGGCTTTGTTTGTGAGACATGCAGCACGTGGGACTGTCGAGGGGCGTTTCTGGGCGGGGCTTGGTAAGGTCAATTAACATTTGTATTCTAATGAAACAATAAATCCAGAAAATTATGTGGAAAGCAACAATTTTTTTCCTGATGAATTAGTTTAAATTAGCAGAGAGGTGTACTGTTAAAACAGCTTGCAATTTTTTTACACAAAAAAAAAAAAAAAAAAAAAAGACATGTCTCTGTTATCACAAGCAATAGAAATTGTACATCTGGTACATCATGCTCTAAAGCAGGGGTGTCCAAAGTCAGTCCTCGAGGGCCGGCATCCTGCATGTTTTATTTCTCTCCATAGTGGTAGTAACAATCCCCTCAGCAAGTCAATGTTCTTCTTAGTCCCTCTAATGAGCCATCATTTGATGCAGGTGTGTAAAACCAGGGAGAGAACTAAAACATGCAGGATGACCGGCCCTCGAGGACTGACTTTGGACACCCCTGCTCTAAAGCTTTGCACTACTACATTCTGGGTGTGGCAGCTTTTTATCATTTCATAAGATAAATTAATAATTTTTTCTTGTTTCCTCAGCTTCTCCATCGTACCCAGCTCCTTTTGTACCATGGCCTCCCAATCAGCCTAGCACACCTCCACTACCTTCAGATGAAATTGAACTAGACCCCTACAATCCTATATATACCACAACATTGATCTGAAAGCTTGCTACTCAGTTAAACTGTATATTTCAAAGATCTAGTTCAACAATTTTGGTATTTTCATTGTCCTGAAAAAATCACTGTAGGGAGATGAATCAGAACAATATTTGTAGAGAACTGAATATGTACTACTGCTTTATTGGTGTCTGTTTGTGTAGCTGTCATCTTTCACACTCTTGTGTAAAATGTGAACAAAAGTCAGCTATCCTGTTCACATGCAAATATTTTCTCATTATGGTCAAATTTACAGTGTGAAATTCAGAAAACTATTTGTGTGTTCATGTTCATTCATCATCTCTGCAGAAAAGTTCCATTAGTTCTTCGTTTCTCTGTTAAGAGTAAATTGAAAATGAAAGTATATGCAAAACAAACAAAAAACGGGTTTATCTGACATGACTGAGATTCTTATAGTAGCCCAGCAGAGGGCGCCTCTGACTCTGTTCTTTGTAAATATTTGTGTCTAAACCCGTTTCTGCTTCCCGTTTTTCTCTCAGTTTTGTCCAGTTTTTCAATGCATTGTTGTGTGTTAGTAGGTTTATGGTCACAAGGTCTGCCTTGTTACATTTCTGTTTGGTTGTTAAGTATCTGCATAAACTCTGCAGAAGATCATGAATAAACTTCTATTTTTTTAAAAAACAAACGTATCTTTCTGTTTTTGTTGTTCCTGGAGTAAATATGCAGTCATTTACTGCATATTTACAGTAAATTTACAGTAAATCTACAGTAAGATTACTGTAGATTTAGTTTAAATCTACAGTAAATGGTTTATTAGACATGGACTAATAAACAGCTATCAATTAACTCACTCCCCATTCTATGTAGCTCAGTGTGATTTTTCTTCTGCTGTTCAACCATTTTGGTTCATTGGAAATCTCCCATAAATACTTGCTGAAATGATTAGACTCCTTTGTACAGCCTTTATTATCCTGCATTGATAAAGATATGGCTTCATAAATCCCATTTGTATCAGAAATCTTTGCATTGGATCAAATTCCAGCACAGTTTAGCTCAGTTTTATTCCGATTCAATATTGGTTCACACCTGTTAATTTATGTGTGCCCAAAACAGAATACATCTATTGCAATAAAACACAGTTGAAACAGATAATACCTGGAAAAAAAAGACAAATCAGTGAGTTTGTGGCCAAGATTTGTTGACTGATCAAATGCATAGATTTCTGTCAGGTCATTCTGCATAAATAAATAATTCTAGATAAAACAGCAAATAATTAACCCCCTCTTACTCCAGTTTTTCCCCTCTGTATTGTTACGTCTATGTACATCCCACACCTTCTAAAAAAACATAAAAAACTGAAATCAGGTGTCATCAATTGGACAGGGGAAACAATAGAGGGGGATTCTGCAATATTAAACTATTACAGCCAGCGCTCCATCCATTAGGATTTGTGAGCAAGTGAAAATCTTCTGATATTGTCATTAGAGTGGAGCCTGAAACATGTGATGCTGATTTATGGAGACACTAATCTGGAGATTATTCTTATTCTTCTTAATCTGCAAGTATTTTAATAAAGCTTCAACTTGTTGATGATTGCTCAACAGGAAGTTAATGGCTGAACATTGTTGGTTTGTCTATCTGCAGACTTGTTCAATTCAAATGTGTAAAATTTTATGTTTAAATACAACAATGTCGATGCATTAAAAGAGAATTAGGAGACATAAAGACCAGCTAATGTTAACAACTTGGTCGAAATGAAAAGACAGACTTTAAAAACAGGACTTAACAAAATTTTTATCCAAAAACTCAAAAATGGACAAATGTTGCCCTTTAACTCAGGGGTCTAGATAACAAGGATGAGGATAAACAGAAAATGTACATGTATTGATGTATTGCAAAATATAAGAGGCAGAAAGGGATTGATTGAAAAAAATAGAAGTATGACTGGAATAGAGTCTTGAAGGAATATTAGGAACTTAGAGGATATTTATAGATTAATCAAAACACTATTTATTTATCTAAATAATACAAAAATAAAATATCCACTTTTATGGATGCGAGTTCCCTTTCAGTTGATTCACTCTGTACAGCACATAGAGTATGGCAGAGGTTCCCAAACTGTGGGGCGCGCCCCCTAGGGGGGGCGCCGTCTGGATGAAAAAAACAAAACATGAACACTGTATGCACTGGGTTATAACCTTTCACTGAACACCCAATTTAAAAATGCGAAAATCTAAAAGACTGGCAAGAATATACATCAGTTAAAAGTGTTAACCCTTATGTCTATCTCACACTGAGCAGTGTTTTCCATGTGTTTAGGAATGCTGTCGAGTGAGTTCTTTATGGGAGGGACATTCAAGTTCCAACAACCATCTCATTGCAGAGTCATTTCCCTGGTACAGCGCTTCATGGCAATTATGGTCTCAAGTGTTTAGGTTAGAGTTTTGTGTATTTTCTGTTTGATCGTGTTACCGGAAAGAAGTTTGGGGTGAGTTTTTCTTATTTGCCTTGGACAGACAAAGACTGTCTTTGATGTTAGACAGTCTTTGGTCACATGACAAGAACAAGAAAAACAAAAGTGAAACTAAGATTGAGGTGTACGTGTCAAGTTAGGTTTTTAGCAACTTGAGTTCTGCTCATCAGTTTTTCCAAGTGTGGCGACACTAGATGGAAATTCAGATTTTGTGGAAGTTTAATTTTAGTAAATTGCTCAACAACGCCACCC